GCCCTCTTGGGTGCGCTTGTCATCCCGTCGCTTCCCATGGAATGCGGGTTCCACCAATATGACACTCTCCAGCATCCTTAGTCGTTCTTCCATCTTAAAGACCGTATTAAATATGTTTGGCAAAAGTTCCGGGGGAACCTTAGAAATAAAGCTGTTAAACTCCGTGGGGGTGATCTTCGCATTGCTGATGCAGTCGTAGTTTGTGTGGCTTCGGCCAGAGAGTATTTCTTCCGTCGTGATGAGGTCAAGTTCAACGGACCAATCCGGCTTCAGTGTCTTGATGCGGCCAACTTTGTAAAGCGCCCTGCCGTCGGTAGAGTCCTCCACACGGCAACGAACAAAAAACCCCGAGACCAGCGAAAAGAGCCTTGAGCGTATCTTGTGGTGCCATTCCGAGAGTTTTTCCCGATTGATCGTGACGGCCTGCGCCATCTCAAGGGTAATGAAGGCCTCCGTGCGGAAAGAGTGGCTCATGCCTGGCGGGGTTATCTCCGGTGGTGCCTGCGGCGACGACGGTACGCTGGGTGGATCCATTTCCTGCACTTCTTTCCTGGGCGTTGCTGGGATGTATTATCACCGCTGCTGCTGCTGCTGCTAATAATAATAATAATAATTAATTAATAAATTAATTAATTAATTAATCAATCAATCAATCAATTAAATAATAATAACGACGATGGACACAACTGGTGGTTTTCCCTCCTCCTCGCTCGTTGTTTGACCCTTTAATTTATGGCTCTATGCGTGCTTGCGGAGATGTCGCCGTGTCATGTGAGCAAAAAACAACAACCGGAAAAGAAATGAAAACAAAACAAAACGGAAAGAAGAAAAGTTTCAAATGACATCCACCATTTGCGGCAGCAAATACACTCACACATGTGTGTTTGCTTGTGTGTGTGTGTGTGTGTGTGTGTGTGTTTTCCTGCGGCACCAAGGGAGGAGGGGAGAAATCTCCTGAACAGACGCCGCACAGCCTTACTGCGGCTTCACGTTCTCCACTCCTTCTTTTTTTTTTTTCTTTGCGTTTCTTTTGTGGATTCAACCTCTTGCTTCTCTGCTGAAGATGAAATTTTTCGTATCCAAAGAAAATAAACATGTTTCTACATAGGTATGCATGCTCCCTCGCTTTCCTTTTCTCACCACTTTACATGCAAGAAACGTCACATCGTTTCATAGGGAAAAAAAAAAAAAAAAAAATTGCACTTGTTTTTTTAAAATAAATAAATAAATAAATATAAATATCAATATATATATATATATATATATATATATATTTGTAGGTGTGTACACACGTGTATCGATTCCATTATTTTTCTGGCGACGATGGCGTCGTTGATTGCTGTTCTGACAGGCCCTTGAAACACGCGCTGAGCTCCATGATCCTGCCCAGCAACTGTTGTGCATTGTCGGTGAGTTTAGACGACCGGCAACGGGCCTTGGAGAGCACGTCACATGTCAACGAGAGTGTCTTTTCCACGTCGAGGTCCACCCGTGAAGCGGCGTTGAGAAGATCGAAAAGCAACGAGGGCCTTTTTGGATTCGTTGCGTCTTCGTCGTCGCCTTTTCCACCCCCGCACAGCAGCGCGGGTTGATCCTCGATGAGCTCGACACATCCCCGCGAGTGGTACACGCTGGTGAGGGGCGCCACGGGAGCCGTCAGGTACGTGGAGACCGGGCTTGGGGGCTGCGGCAGCGTAGAGAGCAGCAGCTGCTGCTCAGCGAGCAGCTTGCGCAGATTCGGCTCCTTTATGACGACAATAGCCATTGATACCTCCTTCGTTCCTTTCCTTTTGACTTGATATATCGCCTCTTTGGCGTTAGTGAATAAAAAAAAAGAAAAAAAAATGGTAAAAATAAGGGAGGAGAAAGAGCAAAGCCATTAAAAACAAGAACAGACACACATACACACACATAAATACAAATCTGACAGACACCACCCCGCCGCCAACCGTTTGTGTGTGCTTGCACCAGATGAAGAACAATTCAAATAAATGGGTATGATGGCACGCCTACACATCGCGGGAGTACCGGAGCAAACGCCGTTCTCACGTTGCTGCAAACGACCCCTTCTCCCACCACTCCACTCAGTTTCCTCCTCTGGTCCTCTTCGGGATCCTTCCGTCCTGTCACTTTACATTATACATCCAACATGACACAAAAATAAAAAGAGGGTCAAATTTTTCTTCCTCATTCCTTCTTTGGCTTCTTCTTGGACTTCCTGCTCTTCGCCCTCTCTGCCTCGGCGTCCAGGATCATTTGCATGTACTCGGCAACGTGCTGCAGCCTGTCATCGAGGGTCTCCTCCTGCACCTCTCCCACCTCGACGCGAATGCCATCGGCGTCACTGGCGGCAAAGGCGAGGGTTCTTCGCATCTCGACGGACTCAATCGAGTTGGTGAAGTCAAGCAGCTTCAAAACCTTCGCGGTGCCAATGAGTTCGGCAGTCGCATCCACCGTTTTTGTACCGAATGTGTTATCAGCGCAGCTCACCATAACGAGAAATGTGTTCTTTAAAAGCGCCTTGACGATGATTACACCACCGTCATCGGAAAAGCCGTTGCTCGCCAAGTTCAGTCGCTCTAGCGCCGGAAGATTTGCCGTGATGAGTGCCGCCGCTTCGGGCGCGCCTTCGTCGCCCAGCATGCAGTTCCCTAAATTGAGGGAGCGTACTCGGTTGGGTGCGGCGGTGAAGTGCTGGCGGAGTAATTGCATCCCCTTCAACCCAAGTGTGTTGCTGTGTAGACTAACTTCGAGTATGAATTCATTT